CAATGTATTACAGGTATTTAATTAAATTCTAATTTTATCTGAATGGCAATGTGGTCAACCAGATAAAATTATCCTGTAATTAATAAAGTTGTTACTGACTGACTGACAGCTGCATGAAGACTTTGTAGCCTTGAACCACAAACCAGCATTGTAATGTGGAGGGATTTCGTCAGACCCCATTGTTCACCATATCACACACAACATCCCCCTCAGTCCTGTATCCTGTGTGTGTGCGCGCACACGTGCACAGCTCATTTTGTTGGTTTTGGCCAGTGAGGGATGAGACAGAGTGCCTCAAGGGATTCTATGTTCGTGTATGTGGGAAAATGTGTGTGTGTGGTTGGGTATGAATGTGTGTGTGTGTGTGCACCAATGGTGTATACACAAGTCTGTGTTTCTGTGTGTGTACTCCTTATCTCAGTACTAGGCTCTGCCCAACTTCTGTGCTCTTAAAGCGAACCATCTGGCAGCTGGGGGGAGGTGAGGGAGGCACATGGGGGTCACCCCTCAGTTGGAGGGAACGAAGTGAATCATGCTGAACTGTGGGTATACTTATCTGCATTACATAATCTACCTAAACAAATTGGGGATTTTGATCACAGATACTTGTTGGAGAAATTAGAGATTTATTTCTGGAATAAGGTATAAAGTTTAAAGAAAAGGGTCATCTTTAAACGTTTGTATGCCAACCAGAAACACATTCTCTCAACCTTCAGTTTAATCTCTGTATTATTCTAGACTCCTTTAGGCTTCTGATATAATATTAGATGGGTCGCAGACCAAAATGTTCTATATGTGGTTCCCAAGTTGTTCTTGATTGGAGTTAAAAACAAGTCAAGTTTATTTGTGTAGCCCATAATTGCAGTTATGTAAAGTCTCAGTGGGTCTGTCAGAATCCACATAATGAAAACAGTGACTGAAAAATGACTTGCCCAAACTAAGACCCTCGCTGAGAACAAGGAAAAGAAACTCCCACAAGAGCTCAGAGGGCAAAAATACGCAAAACCCTATGAGGTGCTGCTATGTGTCTCATGGGACTCTGGAGAGTTATGCAATGTGTGTTGACAACCAGGTGAGTTTACTGTGTCTTTGTCCACAACAGAAGATGTACTCTGATCTCGGATCAACAACATGTCATGTAAATGAATTCATCACAGTTCTAAAGAACCTTTTTATGTTGAGACTTCCTTGTATTGCAGCTGAATTAGTGCCAAGCACAGGCCGGGGCAGATCGAGAGCAATGTGGCATTAGATATCAAAAACGTGTTTTGATTTCAAATCTTCACACATTTTTTCTAATACATGTCTGTTTTCACTGGACTTCAACCTATCACTTAGTCTAAAATATATATGGCCATAACAGATCATCAAATTATATGTGTGTTATTTTTATAAGCACCTAAGCATGCTAAAAAAGGGCCAAATACCTTGCTGTTTGAGCTGTCTTCTGAAACAGCGTTATGTAAAGTAGGACGAAGACAAAGTGTTAGCAATGTTAGCAATGTGTCAGAGCAAAGTGGATGAGTTCATGTCTACATGGGCTGAAGACCATAGATGGGTGTTTTCACTAAAACCGACCTTATGACTCATGCGCACAGTTGACTGAAATCCCCTCTACAATCTTACAGCAACTCTACCACTTTTTCTTTTTCATCTCTTTTATTTGTAGCATCAATGCAACCATTCTCAGTTATATTGTAACTATGGTGAATGAGTGAGACATGTAATGACTGTGTCTTCTCATGAGAGCTTCAAACTCAGATTAAGTTACTTTTTGGTATGTAGCTCAACAGGATTGAGCACAGTCAATGATACTGAATATTTATT